GATGAAGCTTCAAACAATATCCTAAAGTTAGTTATAGTCTACTATAGATTTCCCTAAATTCCTTTCATATTCCTTCTTGGAAAGTATTTCTAAAATAATCTTGCCAATCCACATTATCTTAAACAAGCCATATTTCACAAATAGCAGCTCATTTCCAACATCATTATGCTAATTAATATGCCACTACTTTCATCAGGCAACCCATTTCTAACAATCATTATGCTAATTGAGATATGGATAGCTTAAAGTACTTTGTACAAACCTCTGGCCTTTCTCATTAAAGGCTAGCTAACCTCCTGGGAGTATGAAATTCTGATGAGGGCAACTTAGTGCCCGTGAAAAATAGCTTGAGGCATCACATGTACGTTTAACACTAAAATGTCTGCGCTAAAGATACTGTAAGTAAAGGACAGCCATCACGATCAAAGATGGCAGGAGGAAAGCTTGCGGGAGTGTAAATGGTGTGCCTAGGAATAAAGAAAATGTATTAGGGATATGTCAATAAATACTTTAATATTCCAAATTCTACTCTCCTAGTTAAAGCAGAGGACTTCGAAATTTGTATTTATGGAGGTTTTTCCATTGGTAGGAAAAGCTATTAATGTAAAAGGGACTCTGAGCTCTTATCACAGAAGGAGGAAATGATGGCTATGGTTTACTGTGGAAATTTTATAGAAATTCCAATTCCCATTCAAATTACCTGTTTTTCTTTGTGTCACACAGGAAGCCTTAAACATAACAAGATCTAAAAAGCATATCTTCAAACAAAGTTAAAATCTAAAATGCACAGCTGTTCTTATTCTAGCTTGTGTCATCAGTTATCTTTCACTTCTTTGGAGCCTGATTTTCTTCTTTCTTTAAATGTGAGAATTCAGTCATTGTTCTCTAAAGATATGAGCTGGGACCCTACAACAGAAGAAAGATTTACCTTCAGGTTCCCAGGTTGGGGTTAGACAGTGCCTACAGCACTTCCTTGTTCAGGTGTGTGGGACAACCCTGCTCTAAACTCAAGGAAATGTTTGCCTTAATTTCAGTTCCCTTCAAAGTCATCAAAATACAGTAAAATATGGTAATAATATACAGGACCTCCTCTGGGGCCAAATAAATACTTCAAATGTTTTACTTCTTCACAGAATAGAATATGTGCTGGCTTCCTCCTATAGAGTTCCAAGATATTAAAAACTAAATTATTACAGAAGTGTAATAATATATTGATTATCTGTTAGTTATTTTGATGTTAATATAAAACATTTTCTACTTTTCCAAAAAATATTTTCTCTTCCATTGGTATCTTTACTGTGCCTCAGATTCATCTTTAGTTTACCTGTAGCTCATCCCACAGTGGAAATATAGTAGGCAGCTTTTCCAAACTCTAGACCATAAAACACTTCTTTTTACATAACATCACATGAAGCTAGTCTGTAAGAAATTACTCCGGGAAATACAGAATCATTACATGATTTCTAAAAAAATAGATTTCTGAGACTGTTGTTTGCTATTTCCCAACCTATTCAGTCTGCTGCTATTGAAAAGAAGATTGAAGAGAGAATTCAAAATGGTTATGTTCTCAAATTCAGTCAAATTTTCAGTCTACAAATATTTGCTTTGACATTAAAAGATAATTGTGTTACCACTGGAATAGCATTTGATTTTATTCTTCGAATCTTGTCAGGCTCGCTGAACTTCCATGAACACCAAATTCCCATAGGTTGTCACTATCTGGTAATGTGTGAATTGTACTTCTGAGTCATACTACATCTATGTGCAGGTATTTTACAATTTGCAAATTATTTTACTACTTAGCTCTTTCACATCAATTCAGCTTAAATGTATACTCTTACTAATGAGCACAGCCTTGAGAATTTAGAATTGTGTTTTCATAGGTATCAGTGCAATCCCTGATCAGTATGCAAATGCGCACATCACATCTTATCTACTATAGACAAGGCAGACAGAAGTGAGTTTCAGTTGTATTAAATAGCAACACTTTGTGCCTTCAAGCTTTAGTTAGGAATGATGAGTATGTAAAGTACAATCATTTGTTTTCAGACAGTAATGAGGCTACTTTTAGGACCAAAACAATTATGGGAGAGGGTTACTAGAAAGAGTTGTGTAAGGTTATAAACCTAAAAGTAGCCTCAACCTAGTTCATAAATATTGATGGTACAATGATCAGTGCCCAAGTACCTGACCAGAAAGTGTCTTTTATTTGATGGTTGTTTATGGAATGAAAAAACCATGATGTTTTAGATTCTTTCTGTTCAATGCACAATGCAAAAGTGTAAATGGCAATAAAAATAGACCAAGACTTTGTTTTCATAGCAAGGTAGACACTATATGCAAATAGAGTAAGCCTATAATTTACGAAAGGTAGAGAAAGAGAACTGAAATATTCTCTAAAGAGAGCTAAAATATTCATATTAATGGTTCATAATATTACTACTAATAAAATTTTACTGGGGCTGGGGATTTAGCTCAGCGGCACAGCACCTGCCTGGCAAGCGCAAGGTAGTGAGTTCGGTTCCCAGTACTGGAAAAAAACAAAAAAAAAAACAAAAGACAAAAAAAAAAAAAATTTACTTATCATTGTGGCTGTTATGAAAATTGTAATTTCCTTTGTTCTTAGAAGAAATCCAACTTTCTCATGTAGCAGACATGGAAAAAAGATGTAATTTTAGAGACTTTAAATTATTTATAAATATTTCAAATAGTCAGTCTATCAATTTGTTTCTCTCTATACATGGTTCTAGGAGCAAAGACATTAGGTTCCTAATAACAACAGCTATCCCATGATGACTTTCACAAATTAGGACAAAGAGACCTTTCTGCATCATTTCAGTGTAAATAAAGTACAGTGAAAACATTTCTGAAAGCCTTTTGTGAATCTCAATGAGACCAGAACACTTACCAAAATCAGAGGCAGGCCTGTGCAGATCCCAAGGCCTTGGGAGCAGACACTGCACTGAAATTTAGGCCCCCTCCCTCAGCCACTGGTCTTACACACCTATACTCAGCCATCCTGAGCTTTATTTACTGAATTAAGCAATTGGATACCAGCAAAATCTGCAGTGTTTTCTCTGGCATTCTATACCCTGAAGGAAGAGACCTTCCTTTTAACATGGTCTATAGATAAAGCTGCCTCTTTATACACCATAACTTACTCATTTAATGAAGTTCTAATCTGTGAATAGAAGAGCTAAGTGTAAAGTTCAGTCCCCTAGAAGCTTAATCCTGTAATATAGATGGAGCTTCGGAGCTTTGGTTAACTCAGCCCACCTGGGAAAAATGAAATACATTAAAATGATATCTAGTTAATCACCTATTATGGACATTGCTCTTCTCCATATGCCTAGAGAGTAAAAAGTAGAAATAAAGTACAACCTCTGATGTCAAGAATTCTAATTCTTTTTTTTTTTTTTTTTTTTTGAGATAGGGCTCTTGTTATATTACCCAGGCTAACCTCAAAGTCTTGGGTCCACACAGTCCTCTCGCCTCATCCTCCCAAGTGCTAGGACTATAAGTGCCTCCAGCTAAGAATTTAAAATCTGGATGAGAGCAACAAACAGGAAAGAACAATTGTCTTAAGTTTTGGGCCAATAACGTTTATGTGAATCTACTTGGTAAACACCACAAGATAGCATGAAACTCAGTCGTTATGGTGCATAGTGGGGAATCACATATTGTTGACTGAGTTAGTCACGAATCCCATGAATCCCATGGTTAGTGATGAATCTCATGTTGACTGAGTTAGTTCTGAAAATATGTAAATACTTCAAGAATCTCTACTTAAAGAGTACATAAAGCAGGTCTTAAAAACTAGGTGCTATGCTCATAGGAAGTTGAATTTATTCATTTGCTATTGCTATAATAAAATAACTGAAATTAGATAATGTATGAAGTTTTCTTTGGTCACAGTTTGAGGGGCTGAAAGTCCTAAATTCTTGAGTATGTTCCCACAGAGATCTTATTTTGGAAGTCTGGGCTCCAGTATGGCAATGTGGAAGGTACTCCTTTAAGAAACAGTATCTAGAGGTAGGTCTGTGTAGATGCTGCCTTTGGAAGGGATTAAGATAGCTCTCATAGGATTCTGAACTAGTTTGGAAGGCAAATTGTTGGGAAAGAACAAGGCTGACCCCTCCTTAATCTCTGCTTCTGGTCTCATTGTGTGATCCCTCAACACCGGATCCTTTGCTCACAGTTTGAGGGGCTGAAAGTCCTAAATTTTGCCTTGAATGAAGAAACTTCACTGAACAAGAAGTTAGTTGGCTTCCAGTTTGCACAGGCATCAATGGAAGGCTTTTTTTTTTTAATTTTATATCTCACTCAGTGAAACAAAAGTTTTTATGTGCTGTGCAAATGGTTCCTTCATGTGGCATCTCATCTGTTTGGCCACTGGCAAAGGACTCCTTGGTGGATGATATAGTAGGATCCGGTGTTGAGGGATCACACAATGAGACCAGAAGCAGAGATTAAGGAGGGGTCAGCCTTGTTCTTTCCCAACAATTTGCCTTCCAAACTAGTTCAGAATCCTATGAGAGCTATCTTAATCCCTTCCAAAGGCAGCATCTACACAGACCTACCTCTAGATACTATTTCTTAAAGGAGTACCTTCCACATTGCCATACTGGAGCCCAGACTTCCAAAATAAGATCTCTGTGGGAACATACTCAAGCCATATCCAAGCCTTGGCAGGCGAGATGTCTGAGTACATGCAGGATATACATGTAATATTTAGTGCTTTTGGATAAAAAGACACTGTTAGTCTATTAACTTTAATGTTTAATGAGATGAAACTCTCTAGCTTGAATATGTTCGTGAAAGTGACTTTGACAATTTCATTGGCTAAATATGCTTTTCGAATTAAATATGCACTTACAATTTGTTTCATGTGCATGTGAAAAGGCCTCACTGCCTTTTAAGGAGATCTCACTGGAAAAGAGCACAGAAGGCATTTTAAAAGCTGTGACGTAACGACTACTCTTATTCCATTGTTTCCACAGACCATAAACAGAACAGAAGAATGTCCGTCTGAAATTTTGCCTTGAATGAAGAAACTTCACTGAACAAGAAGTTAGTTGGCTTCCAGTTTGCACAGGCATCAATGGAAGGCTTTTTTTTTAATTTTATATCTCACTCAGTGAAACAAAAGTTTTTATGTGCTGTGCAAATGGTTCCTTCATGTGGTCTGACGGTTTCTTTTTGCCACCTTTTTCTTTTTTACTTAAAGGAAAAGAAATCCCAGAAGAGGGGGTGGGGTGGGTATCAAAGGTTGACATTATATCTGGAAGAGCATTTGAATTCAAAATTTACCTGAAAGTATAGATAGATTTTCTTCTTTTTTTTTTTCCTTCTATTTTTTAACAGAAAACCTGATGTCAAGAGATGGGCAATCCAAAATGGAAGCAAATGGTCTTCTTCAGTAATTAAGCTACTTTTTCTTTTTCCCTTCCTGTTTAAACCTAGTGGGTTGTTTTTTCTTATTTTATTGTATTTTTTTCTTAGAAATATTTAGGTAAGGTTTATCTTGAATCTTAATTGCCTTAATTTTAAGGACGTCAAAGGCTCTCAAGGCAAGCTGTCAACGTCTTGTTAAAAAAAATAATTCAAGAAAGAATTGAAATATCGTGCCAGCTTTAACTGGTACAGAAGTTTAAGACTATGAGTTTTTAGGGTGAAAAAAACTGTACAGTTTAAAAGAAAATGTTTTTCTTCATTTGAAGAAAATTTGTTGATAAAAGAAACCATGGCAACTGCAAGAATTGGGAAATGCTGGGACTTTTCATGAACTTTGTCTTAAGTGTTGACACAAATCATTCTAGAAGGCTAAAACATTTTATGGTAAAGTTATTAACGTTGGTTTAAAAACAACTGCATTAGAAATAATGCGTGTTTGGGGGGCAGAATGCAGATTTTTTTATTTACAAAGCGTGATTGCTAGCAAAAGCATTAGTGCTTTTTATCTGCAGTCTTTTTTATGAGCTTTACAAAGTTTTTAGTCAGCTTTGCTTGTCACATTGCAAAACTTAGCTAAGAGCATTAAAAACAAAACAAAAAAACATAAGTAGGTAGGAGCTTATGGTCAAAAAGTGCAAAAAAAAAAAAACAAAAAAAGCAATAGATAGAGAAATTGTTGACAATTTCTGTAGTCTTTCCTAGTTGTGATCAAATTCAGCCTATAGATGGCCTATTTTATACCAAAGATGAAGTGACACCCTATTACAGTCCAGAAGGTAGAGGTTTTTTTTTTTTTTTTTCCTTTTCTTTTCTTTAAAATTTTATTTGACCTACAATGGCCGGACCAGTTCTTACTTTGTTGTTTGTTTAAACTACCGTCCACTGGTGTTTTACATACTGCAAAAAAATTTTTTTTAATGTACATTTGTTTATAATAGAAGTTCGCACCAACTGTGTTCAGCAGTCCCAGCATAAAGAGTTCTGGATACCAATTAATAGAGCCGAGGGGCTTTTAAGTTTTGAGCTTCTCTGGTTCCTTGCTAGCTCTCTTCAATGTGACACCTGTGTTAATGGCCACCAATAAGCCACGAGACATGTATAAGAGGCTGGACTTTCTGTGGATTTTGAACTGATGATACTTCCTGAAGATGGCCTGAAAGGTCTCTGAAATCTCATTTGTCAGAAAAGCTTAGTGATACGGGTTGAAATGGTGAATGGTCTCCTGCAAAGGTCTCATGGTATTTGTAACAATCGTCTTCCTTCCAAATTCCAGTACCTCCTGGTTTTGTCTGCTCACCACAGTCTTCTCATCATCCACCATGAATGGCCACCTTGACACTGCATTCGGGGAGGGGGCATCTTCTTTTCATCTCTTTTCATGGTATATTCATATCTTGGTCTTGCCTGAAAGAAAGAAAATATACCTTTTTATTTCAGTTTAATTTTCTGAGGCAAGAAGTACCAATAACATTGAGGATTCTCTTAGTGGGATTTAGGGAAACTCTCAAAATGCTAGTTGACAATCAAGAAATTGTATCATAATTACCAAAAGAATAAGTATCAATAAGTACCAAAAGAAGTAGATTTGATCAGTCATTAAAGCCAAAGGAGATATTTATATAAAGAATGGTGTAAATTTGTATCTAAATTGACTTACCTAAAAAACATCTTTACATTTTTGGTTCATCAAGTCAACATTAAACCTATACAATTTAACCTGAAACTGAAGAAAATGAAATGGAATTTTATCAGTTGAGCTACTCACAAGAAGTGCATTTTGGTTGAATCATTTGAATCACAAAAATGAAACTTTTTACAAATAAGTACAGGAACTTGACTTTGTGCAGAAAGAAGAGGGCAATGTATAAGTGCACTATGAAAGAACACAGAGTAGACTTTTAAAAACTCAAAAATATAAAAGGCAAATCATATTTTCAGTAGGTCAGTATGAATAAGGAGTTTGACTCATATAAAATTGCCAATATTCCACTATTTAGTTGGATCCTGGTTTTCTTATTTGCAAGCCCATGATGGAAGCTCAAACCCAGAGTGACTGCACAGCTTTGTAGTCTCACCACTGGCAAAAGATAACAAACTGTGGCATGTGCTGGACAGAAAGTCAACTGATCACACCCATCTTAAGGGTTTTCCATGCTACAGAGAGAACCCGAGATTTAAACATTCTTCCACTGTATCCTCCAGCATCCCATGGACTGCCATGTGGTATTATCTTGGAAAATGAGCTCCTCATATTATGGGGGTGGTACAAAAAACATGCATAAGAAGTACGTTTTCATGCTCTTTTTCATGCTCTGAATTCTTCGCATACATAAGGATTATCCTGGGCATAATTCATTTGAATATAAAACCAATATGCATTCCTTTGTTTCTGTACAAAAAATACCAAAAATATATATTAATGTGATACAAAGAAAGTCTCATTTATACAGTCAGCAATGAGGGTAAGAGGTAGCTAACATGTGGCTGATAAATGTGCCTAGGTAACTTCTTGTTTCTATTCAAAACTGCTGCTTTATTTATACATTTAGGTACTTTTTTTCGACTATGAAATTTCAGTAGTCTCAGGAAATTATTCTCCCTGTCATTTTGTGTGCCTGTGTGTTTTGTGTTTGGATTGTTTATGTCATAACATTCTATAAAATATGTTATTTCAAACCAAAAAGAAACAAAATGATAAAAAAATGCACATGTCCAAATTTGCCCCCCTTTTGTCATTCTACCTAAGAACTGTTTTCAAGAATCCAGTCTTGGGGTTTGGGGAGGAGCTATTAACAGGTAAGCAGCATTAAATCGTATGAAAAATAAAACAACTCAAAGTATGTGTTCAAAATACCCAGATATCAGAATCCAAATTTAGTCAACAATATATACTGTGGGATTTTGATCCTATTTAGAACTAAAATCCCTTTTGGATGAAGTTAATTTTCTTTGTATTCTGATTTACCAAACATTTATTTTTATGTGTCAATTTTTCCTTTTGACTTTAATTGCCATGCATTATCCTGCACATTCGGAAACAAACTAATACCACAATCCAAATAAGAGAAACACCTTCTCATCCAAACTCTTTTCATGTGGTCAGTGGAAGACCAGAGATAAAGAGCAGATCATTTCCGCTATGAGAAGCTATTGTCAAGGGATGCAAAGTGTGTATAGGAACCAGAGGCTCCCGCTGCACAGCCATATCTTGGGAGAACAACAAAGTGCACACTGTGAGCTAAAGGTAATCCTAGCAGGTGCTGATGACAGTTTGTTTTTCAATGTTGATTTGTCTTTTACATGGAAACTGAAATAACATTCTAAAGAAAATCCTCTCCTTAACTTTGTGGTCAGTATTAGTTTGTTTCCATGGTAAATTTCAACAGTTCAGACAGAATATTGTCTCATATTTTACTTTAATTAATTCTTTATGTGACTTCAGCAGATCTGCCATCTTTAAAAGCATATGACTCCCTTTCACCACTTCCCTAATGTATGACAACCTGGCATTAGAAGTGCGCTCATGCTGTCCTTAGAGACAGAAGGTTAAGCCCTGAGGAAGGCTGGGTGGAGCAGGAAATTCACATTATCTCACTATGGCAAAAAAAAAAAAAAAAAATACACTGCAGAAAATTGCTTTAAAAATTGCTTTCAGTTCATGTATAACCAAAAAAGTTCTGAATTCTGGTTTCTTAAAAAATTTTTGAATATTTGAGATATCTCTTCTATGGCTATGTAACATTTACAATGGCCTAAAATCCCCAATACTGAAAAGTGAGACTTGAGTTGAAGAGGGCCTTTGCAGTCTTCTCCATGATTGAACAGAAGTTTCGATGGGCTGTCTACACAGATCATGCTGTTAAAAGATCACAATATATTTGACAATTCAGTCTCACTCCTAATTTGAGTGCATGAATCATTGCAGATGAATTGATAAGCAGAGAGAAATTCTTAAGTGTTCTTGTGATGTGTTTTTAGATGATTTAAAATGGAACAAAAGGACAACATTTTTGTATATGTACAATAACAGTCAGCACACCGAGGAATCACACATCGTAATACAGTGTGATGAGTCATAGACTCTTGATCTGTTCTCTTTGACCTGAATAAGGAGTAAAGGATGGGATCTTACTTTTCATGCTGTTGTGGCTGGCGTGCTTCACAACTGTGAGTTTACTGAAACTGACAGCTTCTCACTTCAGTCTGAGGGATTGGCAGCATTTAAACAGGCTCATTGCTTGTGCACACTGTACATTTCCTGTGGCTAAGTGATGATGAAATTTCATTAGTGAAGAAATTTGGCTTACAAATAAAGTGTCCACTATAGCATTGGAAGACGGTCAGGTATGACTGAAGATTAATATTTCTTTCAAAACATTTTAAAATATGGCATTGGCCCCTTAATTCAAACACTCTTGGTTTTGGCTTTGTGGATTATGTGTTCAGGAAAGTATAAAAGCTCAGTGTTAAATCCCCAAGTGTCCCCAAAGATCTATGAAGTGGGAGGAGGAGTTCATGATCAATTAATGATTTCTTTTATGTGTGGTTTTTACCCCAGAGTATAAACACTCACTGTCACCAGGGGAAAAAAAGATGGGTGATCTCTCAATATTTAGCTCTGTGTATCTTGGGTGGGAAAATAATGCATCAGGAAAAGTTTCTTCTACCCAGGAAGCTCATGGAATCGAGTTTGTAACCGAGCTTGGAGCCTGCAGAAAGAACCACGAGGCCACTGAATCACAGTTGAGCTTTTCCCAAAACTGCCCCATTTCTGAGTTTTGCAGAAATACTATCGCTCTCAATTTCTGAAGGGCTAATTATCCATTTTGTGTATGTTTGTCTTTTCTTCTTGAGAATTAGGCCTTAGGCACTGTTTCCTTTCATTAATATTTCACCCTGGGGGTGGAAAAAGAAACAATTGGAAATAAAATTCATATTAGTTACTTAATTCTATTATTACTTAAGTATTGATTTATTGAGAGTTTAAAGTGATGAAGAAAACTTGTACCAGTGCATTATAAACCCTGGGTTTTGGTAATTCATAATATCCTTTTCCCATTCTCCACAAATAATTGAGAGTCGGCTGTATTCTCGCGGAATATAAAAGAGAATATTGCGGCCAGGGACTGGGCTTCTCTCAGAAGAAAACTGTTTTGGTTTCACTCACTTTGCTGAAAGTTAAACCAGTTGAAAAAATAAACAGAATTTCTGTTAGGAGAATATAATAGCTCTCAGTTAAATATACATTCATTCCTTTCCTTAAGTTTGATGAAAAAATGCATTACTTTTGCTATATTTTCACTACATTACTGTATCAAGACTGAATGATTTGACACTGCAGTGCAAACTCTTATGATCACAATTTTCATAAGTTCAAAGTGTAACCTTAACGTTATACTTTGTATTTAAATTCTCTGGTCTTAGATTTTTAAGAAAGATGCTCTGTCCTCTTCCCAAAAATGTGCTATTTCATCATATACAAAACAAGGAGTTATTTCATACCTTTCAGGACCTATAAAAATAATTTCAAAGAGATACTTGAAAAAAATTTCCCCAGTTTGCAAATAAGTGCTTCCACTTATTTAAAAATATAATTGGAATCTTAATTTTTAAAATATGTATAAAAGTACTCTATGAGATACTGAGTTTCTAAGGAAAATGGGACACAGCTTCTTTTAAAACCCTTATTTCAGGCCGTATTCAACCTCATGCGACTTCTGAAACATCACTCAATTTTAAACTTTATTTAAAAACATTTCTGTATTGCTGTCTCTGTTATGAAAAGTTCTGTAATACGATGGTGTTTCTGGTTTTATTTTTAATTGTTTCATCTGTACCACAGTCAAATTAGATTCCATATTTTCCCTATTTCTTGGGCTTTCTTTAAATCAGTGGATCTTAGGTTTAAGTTTCTGTTTTCTTTGATGAAGCTTTCAATAAAAAATGAAAATAAAATCATTGAAGGAGGGCTGCTGTGTTTGTGTACACTCGCTCAGACCTGTCATGGGAGCCAATGGGTGGGCGGGGGCTGTCTCTGTATTTAATTGGATACACTGCTAGATTTTCTCTAGGTAAGATCATTTCTGGTGACAAAAAGAGTGTGAGGGAAGGATTCTATTTATGTAGGGGGCTGAAAAAGCCAGAGTCTGCCAGATTTTCCTAGTTCTTTTATTTTAATGGGATACATGTAGATACTAGTAAAGAAAATATAAAAAGAATTCTTATTTCTATGAAAAAATAAAACAAAACTTTCATAACAAAATAATTAGTTAATATTTTATGTATTGTGATCTTAAAAGGATGGCTACAATATTACAGTGTGTCCAAGACCAAAACAAAACAAAACAAAACAAAATGACTTTTTCTTATAAAGAAGAAACAAAAGAACAAAACTTTCCTTCTGTGGAACAAAAAGAAAATATTAGTATGGATGAAACAGATTAAAATATATTGTAAAATATTTCTGAAGCTTCAGAATAGATAATTTGGGGAATTATTTTAATTTCTCCCTACTTCCTATTTATCTAACATCATAAAGAGAGTGCAAAAAAGAGATTCTCATATGAGAGAAGCCATACAGTATTTAAGCTTGTGTATCTGACTTATTTCACTTACCACTGTATTCTCAGCTTTCATTCACTTGCCAACAAATGATTCAACTTTATCTTTACACCAGAGTAGAACTCCATTACTTAAAAACACCGCATTATCTTTATCCATTCATTTGTTGACTGTCATATGCTGTTTCCAAGATCTAGCTATTGCAAAATGTGCTGCTGTAAACATAGGATATTACAGAGCTAGATAGGTAGTTCTGTAATATGATGACTTTTGATTCATTTGGGAAAATACTTAGAAGGAAGAGCTGAGTCAAATGGAATTTTTATTTTTAGATTTTTGAGGAATCTCCACTCTGATTTCAATAGTGGCTGTACTAGTTTAAAGTCCCACCGACGATGTAGAAGAGTTCCATCTTCCCTGCAACCTCATCAGCATTTATTTGATTTTTAGACAGTAGCCATTCTTTCTGGTGTAAACAATAGATTTAATTTTTGTTTCTGTAATAACCAGTGATTTTGAACATTTTTCATTGTACATATTGCTATTTATATTTCTTCTTCTGTGAAGTATCTATTCATTTCAGTTGCTGATTTCTTAATTGGGTCTTTTATTTTGGAGGATCAATTTTTTTAGCAGTATTTATTTGATTTTTAGACAGTAGCCATTCTTTCTGGGGTAAACAATAGATTTAATTTTTGTTTCTGTAATGACCAGTTATTTTGAACATTTTTCATTGTACTTATTGCTATTTATATTTCTTCTTCTGTGAAGTATCTATTCATTTCAGTTGCTGATTTCTTAATTGGGTCTTTTATTTTGGAGGATCAATTGTTTTAGTTCTTTATATATTGTAAATGTTAGTCTTCTATCTGAGGAAAAGTTGGTAATTTTTCCCCATTCTGTTGGTTATCTCTTCACTCTGTTGGTTGTTTTCTTTGCTGTGCAGAAAACTTAATTTGTCTTTTGTTTGTTTGGTATCAGAAATCAGTCTTTCGTTTGTTTGATATCGAACTCTACCTCGACCTCATGCTTGCCAGGCAGGCGCTGTGCTGCTGAGCTATATCCCAGGCTCAAACCTTTTAATTGGAAATGAATCTAATTGTTGATTCTTGGTTTTATTGCTTATATAATTGGGGTTAGATTTTTTCCTGACACTCCAATAGAATCTGATTCTATCAGATCCTGGGCTTTTTTTAGTTGATAGTTGTTTTTTTTTTTTTTTTTTTAAATAACTGCTTCAATTTCTTTGCTTCTTACTAGAACATTCAAGATTTTTACTCTTGGTTCAGTTTGGGTAATTCATATGTATCTATGATTTTTTCCATTCCTTCTGAGTTCTCTATTTTTTTGACATAAAGATTTGTGAAGTAGTTGGCAACAATTTTCTGGATTTCACCAATGTCCATTGGGATTTCAATTTTTTCATTTCAAATTCCATGAATTTTGTCTTTTATTTCTTTTTTTTTAAATTTGGTAAGATTGGCTAAGGATTTGTCTATTTTTTTTCTTTCAGAGAACTAGCTCTTTCTTTCTCTGTCTGTCTGTCTGTCTGTCTTCATTTCTCTGATTTTTGCTCTGATCTTTATAATATCCCTCCTTGTACAAACTCTGGGTTTGAATTGTTCTTGTTTTTCTAGGACCTTGACATGCACCATTAGGTTATTTGGGGTCATTCTGTTTTGCTAATGCAAGCATTCACAGCTGCAAAGCTCCCTAGTAGGACTGTTTTCATTGATTCTCATAAATTCTGGTATGTTACACTGGCTTTATCATGTAATTCTAAGAACTGTCCTATTTCTTCCTTAATTTATTCTGTGATGCACTGACCAAGAGTGTTTAGTTTCCATACATTTAAATAGTTCCTGTGGTTTCTTTTGCTATTGGTTTCAAGTTTCACTGCACTGTAATTTGATAATATACACGGTAAAATTTCAATTCTTTTGCATTTACTCAAGTATGGTTTATTAGACATTATATGGTCTATTTTGGAGAAAGTACCATTTGCTGCTGAAAAGAATGTATATTCTATTGCTGGATGGAGCACGGTAGATATTAAGTACATTTATTCAAGGTTTATTTGAACCCTGATGTTTCTTTGTTAAGTTTTTGTTTAGTTGATCTACTTTCAATAGTGGAATTTTGAAGTCACCCACTAAAATTATATTAATGTTTAGCAGATCTTTTATGTTCACTAGTGTTTGGTTTATGAAGTTGAGTGCACTGTAGTTTGGTGCACATATTTTTATAATTGTTATCTCTTCCTGTGAAATAGATCCATCAGCCAATATATAATGCCCTCTTTGTCTCCTTTGATCAACACTGGCTTAAAGTCTACTTTCGGAATAGAGTAACCATTCCTTGTTTTAGGGCTTCTGTTGCATGGTTTATGGTTTTCCATCCTTTCATTTTTTTGGTATATGAATTTATTTCAGTGTTAGATATATTTCTTGTATATACCATACCATCAAATTTTGTTTCTTGATCCATTCTACCAATCTGTGCCTTTTGATTGGCTAATTTAGTCCTTTTACACTGATAGTTATAACTGATGTGTGTTGACTTATTTCAGATCTTTATTATTTATTTTTCTCTGTTTTTCTTTTTTCTTCTTCTTCTGAACCTTTTGGTAATATTAGCTTCATTGTCTCTTTCTATGAAGTCCTTAACTCTTTTTTTGAGTTTTGCTCTTATGGTCATGGATATCTTCTTTTCTTTTTTTTTTTTTTTGGTTTTTGTCTGGTACCAGGAACCGAACTCACGACCTTGCACTTGCCAGGCAGGGGCTTTGCCGCTGAGCTAAATCCCCAGCCCCGGATATCTTCTTTTCTTGTGATGTTCTTGACTCTGTTTTGGAGTGTTGCTTTTATGGTCATGGATATCTTCTTTTCTCTATCTCTTTTTCTGTTGTTGTTGTTTTGAAACATGGTCTTGATATGTGGTTCAGGTGGCCCTGAACTCCCTGTGTAACCCAGGTTGGCCTCAAAATCCCAGTGATCCACCTACCTCAGCCTCCCAAGTACTGGGATTACAGGAGTGTGCCACCACACCATGATAGTCATGGAATTTTTTACATGCTTTTTATCGCAGAAATATCTTATTACTTCATTATTGAAAGATAATTTTGCAGGGTATAACTATCCAGGTTGGATGTCGTTTTCTTTTAGGGATTGAAACACATCATTCCAAACTCTCTTTGTGTTTAAGGTTTATGTTGAGAAATCTATTGTAATTCTAAAGTGTGTGTGTGTATATGTGTGTGTTTTGACACTTTTCTCTATTTTCCTTCAAGATTCTGTTTTTGTGCCTGATTTCTGGTACTTTAATTATTACATGACAGGGATTTTTTTCAGAACATGGCTGTTCAGGGTTATAAATATTTTGCTTATCTGTATATTAAATTCTTTTTCCATGTTCAGAAAGTTTTCTGCTATAAGTTCTGCAAATAGATTTTATGCCCTTTGTGCTGTCTTCTGACAGCCCTTTGTTCTGTCTTCTTTTTGTTAATTTAGTTACTTTTATATTAGTCTTCTTTGAGTCATTGAGCTTCTGTTGATCCATTTTTCATGCTCTCTTATTGTTTGTATGGTGTGTTTATTTCTTCTAGATCTGACACTCCGTCCTCACACTTATTGGTTCTCCTGCCCAGACTTTCAGCTGTATTTTTAATCTCTTGGATTTCTTTTTGAAATTTTTGTGGGCTCCCAGTCTTTTCTATCCTGCAAGTTCACTTTTTGCATCTTCTTTAGCCCACTAGATTTTTATTAGTGTTTTCTCTAGTGTTGTTGATCATTTATTCCATTTGCCTCATTATCCATTCAGTTATAGCCTCTTTGTATTCACCAAACACTTTATTGAACTGTTTTTCTATCTCTAATCATAATTCCCTTTTGAACATTCCTGTCATGTGGCTTATGATTTCTTCACCATCAATCCCTGCTGGATTGGCTTTGGGGGCACTGGGAACTTTTGGAGGCATTTTATTGCCTTATGTTTTTATGTTTTTATACTGTTGTTTGTTTCCAATGCTGGGATTTTCTGATTCTTTGGTTCAGGGACCAGTTCTTTGGGAATGACCCACAGTAATGTTGATGACCACCGGACAATTCAGGTGCTAGCATACAAAGAAAACCAATCCACACAACCAACTGTGTCACCTTGGCTGTAGCAGTGAAGTCAGCAACACCAATGGATTCAAATATAAACTGAACGCTGACAAAACTTATGAACCACCCTTAACCAGTGCAAAGAGGTCTGTGATTTTAGTATAAATACTAACACAACCCAGATAGTGACTTACAGTAATTCAGGCCACTAGTTTCTGCTGGAGTAGGCAACAGTGTATAAGCTTAAGCAGACCACTTGACTACATCCCACCTCCTCCAGATGCAGACCCTCTGAAGGT